GCTGCGCTGGCACCTGCAGGGCTGCGGAGGTCCTGGCGGCCGCGCGGTTGCGGGGCTGGCGAATTGGGGATGGGTGGGGGAGGGTGGCCTCGAGAGCTTCCCCTCCCCCTCCGGTGATGAGAAGGAAGCTCGTTGAATGCCGATTTTTTTCCATCTAGGTTCTGGGGCATTTTCCCACCATCCAGGCTGGACATTTAAAAAAATTCTTTTTAAGTGGCTTTGTCGTTGGAGGAAATGATCTTTGTGTCACTGAAGTCAGGCGCGTCCCCGAAGTACGCATCTTGTTAGAGAAAGCCATCGGCTCGGGTTAGGGTCTGAAAGGCGTTTCCTACCCACCACCTACGGAAAGCAGGCTCCGGGGTGACTTGTGAAAGTCGGCCTTATTCTCGCGTAACGAGTGGAAGATGCTTTCGCAAAAGGCCACTGAGTATATCCTATTTTTGAGTAATCGCGTGCACTCCTAGTGTCAGGGAACCACGACCACGCACGGCATTGCCCCGCTTCAGTCCTCTTTCCATACAGAAGTTGCCAGAGCATCTTAACGTGCGGTTCAATTCATTTGTTCAGTAATGATTGTCAAATACTGTAGTGTGGTAGAAGAGTATTTTGGGGTCAGGGAATTTTAAGAAGCGTTTTCCTGTTACTTGAGACTAGAACGTAAGTTCTTTCCTGTAAAAAAAAAAAATCTAAGGAGGGCGGTAAGTAATTACAGCGGTGGGTGTGTCCAGGAGGCAAGGTGACATCTTAAGAGTTGGAAATCCTTGCCAACTGAAACCTCCAGCCTTTATGGGTGTGGGGAGAGGACTTCACCTTGGTTAAAACTGGTGTTCATTTAGGTTTGATACACTGGTTCCATATTGATATTTTTAAGTTATTTTATTCTGAATTTGAATATGCTGGTTAAACTTGGTATTCTTTTAGGTGGAACTGCATTATAGGCATGTAATCGAAGTTCTAAATAGTTCTAAATTTTATAATGTTTTTAAATGAAGGGTAAGGCTTGTGGG